TTTTTTTTTTTTTTTTATCCGACATTTTTTCGATTCTTCTCCACCGCTAACTTGTTAACCATTTCAATTTTCAGTATCCACATTTTTTGAAAAGAAAAGCCAATATACTACAAATATTGGTGCAGAGACGTAAACGTTATAAAAATCGACCAATTCTTGGTTATAAAACTCTTGCTATCGGTACATGATTTTTCGCTTTTCATCAGTGTTTCGCGACTTGCTCATTCGCATTCATTGGAAGTGGGCTCGTGCTTTCGCGGTTTTTGAATTCTTTCATTTGCTTTCACTATCCTGTATTAGCATTTCATAACCACAGAAGAGTGATGTTAAAGGTACGATAAATCTATCGGAGGTGCTGCAGAACAGCTGTATCCGCGAAGTTACTCTGTTTGATCCAGATGCCGAGAAGGATGATGTTCAGAATATCAGTTGTGAGTTATCTTTTCATTCCATCCAAACTTCATTCTGCTCTTCATCAGAATTGGAGACTGATGGCTTCTTCGCTGGGCATTCGGAACGCTTATTTCGAAAACTCGAATTGCGCGTTCTGATGTGTTTAGGAGCTTGGCGGGAGCGAGATTTAACTTTACTTGTGTGGCACCTCCACTCAACCTTATTTGGAACATCTCAAAGAAGAAAAATATCTGATATGAAGCAGTAATGGCAGCCATTCAGCACAGGTTTAAATGAGCCAGAATCGGCTGGTTTAGTATTGTGCGTCTCCGATGTTACTTGGCTACGCTCGCGGGAGAGCTCTAGCTCTGCGAGTCCTTTCTGAGCTGCACTGTTCCAGTGTATACCTGGCTTTTTGCTTATGTTCACCATTGCTTCGGGATTTTTATGTGTTTTGCGCTGTGCAACAGCTGCACAAAGCGCATATTGTCACGGGGTTGTCTGTGTGTATTTGTATGTGTTTGTCCGATGCATCTTGTCCGCAACTTTCAACTCGGGGACCACAAGAGCTAGGAAGCTGAAATTTTAGAGTAATTTTCTCCCCTCATGCGCGATTTCGCTTTAACTTCAGCCTTCCCCTGTTCCTGGGTACCACGTACTATCCCGTGAAAGTTTTGTTGGGCAAAGTTATCTGGGGAACTGTGGAAGCTTGGAGGCTGAGATTTTGCGGTAATGGTCCCTGCCCAAGTTTGACCCAGCAGCTTTAATTTCAGCCTTCCCTCTTGCCCGGGTACTACGTACTACCCCGTAGAAGTTTTAGCGGGTAAAATTAAAATTTCAGGAACTACGAAGACTAGGGAGCTGAAATTTTGCGGTAATGTCCCCCGCCCACATACAACCACTCGCAGATTTAATTTTAGCCTTCCCTGCCCTTGGGTACCATATACGGCGGGGAAAATTATTATCTCACGGGCCGTAAGAGCTAGGAAGCTAAAATTTTGCGGTAATGTTCGCTGCCCAAGCACAGTTCCGCAGCTTTCAGCTTCCCCCTAGGTCTGGGTACCATTTACTAAGCTGTGAAAGATTTGGCTTGGTAATTATCTTGGGGACCACGGAAGCTGGAAAACTGAAATTTTAAGGTATTGTTCCCTGCCCAAGTACGACCCTGCAAGTTCAAATTCGGCTTCCGCGTGCGTTTGAGTCTCAGGAGGTAGGAGGCTGAAAATTTCAAGAAGATGTTTTCCACCTGCGCAGAGGCTAGACAAACTCAGATTTGGTCCTTAAGTATGCCGAGGCATCACGCACGACCATGTAAAAGTATTGGCGCGAAAATCACTCAGAAGCAAGAAACTTGGGAAACTGGTTTTGGAAGGACAGTCACCGTCCAAGTGGGAAATTTTGCAATTCAAGGACTGGACAACATTTCATCTATTTTTGTACAGTCCAAAGTGCAGAGCAACAGAAATCCTTAGCAGGCAAACGTCCGATGGACGAATCTGCCCAAAACGAATGATCGCACCGACTGTCTTGGTGAGCGGCGCTATTTATTCTTTCTCACTGCCATTACTCTGTGTTCCTCATTTCATCTTATTACATTTTGCAGATATTTGAGATGCATAGAATTGATGCGCAGCTTGTCCCTGTTGTGATTTCCCACTGATGAGTGTGGCATTACGGCACAGATAAGCTGTGCTTTGCTTGTATATTGAGGTCTCTGTAGCCAGCTGTATCATCATTAGCAAAAGCAGCTGAACGGTCGTTTTTGGGGACTCAGTTCGAGCAGTGTTAATCAAATTCCTTTTTTTTTGTCGCAGATTGAAAGATATTTGTGTATGAGCTGCAAATTTATGATTTACCGCACCTGTAAAGCATTGCGTAGATTGCCCATGTGCGAATTAAAAAATTCGAATAATACCTTTGGGAAATCGGTGGGTCTACCACGCATAGCACATTAGTTCATCAAAGAAGCATTTTTGTAGTCCTCTTCAACTGCCTGCTCGCGGACCCGCTGCAGTCAGCTTCTTGCTATATGGCATGCATAGCTTGCGACGAGGAGGGTTGTACCGAATTTGGAAGCCTTTTTCTATGTGTGTGCCTGTAGTATTCCTGTATTCACGCTGTTGCTTTTCAAAGTTGGTGAAAAAATCACCACGTTGACTTGATATCACCAGTTCCACCTTATGTAACTGTTGCGCTTTTACAAGAAATTTTTTGCTGTTGTAACCGAATTTTGAGCTTTTCGGCGCAAGTTCTCTCATTATTTCGCCGAGTTTGAATAATTTTGGCATTTTTCCAGTTTTAAATATCGTTTTTCGCTTTTCTGGGTGCTCTGACACGGAAAGAAGTAACCTTCTCGTTTCATATTGAACTTTGTAATTATTATAAAGTTATTTCTTGCAGCAGTTGGACGACTGCTTTTGGCATCGTGCCAGAGCCAAGCATTTGAAGCAGAAAATGAAGTGAGCGTACGAAGAATCAAAGACAAAGAGTTGGAAAGTGAAGACGACGATGATACTTCTTCTGATGTGCAAGAAACCAATGATGAACAAGAAGTTCCGGATTCGGCCCGCTCGCAAAAACAGAGGTTAGACACGCGACCAACTATGTTGTTTAGAAAGTGAGTGTACCTTTATGCAAATATCAATTTTAGGTATAAAATACGAAAAACACGAGCACGGAAAATGGCGAGAAGGAAGAATTTGAAGCAGAAGTTCTCTTCCCTCCTCAAAAAATTCAAAATTCCTGAGGAGGGTGCTCCAGGTTGATTAATTTTCCAGCTGTTATGATCGTCATTTATTACGTTTTGTAACTTTTGGACCATCTTGACTGGAAAATTT